AGTAGTACCATTAGGTATAGAAACATACATGACTGTACATGCAAGGCTGGAGTCCAATGATAGTGTGTATCTAGTTTTGCATTTATTTCCTTCTATTACTTATTTTATCTTAGTATGACCAAGTTTTCCAGAAATGATGATCTTTAAGGCGAACGTAATTTAACATGAGGGTGGCTGTGAGGGTTTTGGGAAACAATGCAATGACTCTTATAATCACATCTTAGGTACAGTTTTATTTGAGCAGCAATGCTTTTAGGAAACTGGCTTTGCAATATGTTTATGTGGAGAGGCTGGGAAGGTTGTGCTGAGTTAAAAGGCATTAAGCAAAATGTGGCATTCAAATTGAATAAAGTGTATTTTTAAATAACCTGCTCAAGTTAGTGTATCTGCCTTCAGTGTGGGTAATGTGACCTTATATATCCATCTTATAGATATGTAATAGCCATATTTGCAGTTATCGGAAAGAGAATTGCCATTGTTTATGCTGAAGTAAAATACCTGAACGAATCTTTGCTTTGCTTACACTCAGACCTGAAACATAAATATAAATATGGGATCTTGCACTAAGGAGATACATTTTTGTTATTATGAAATATCTGAACAATAGTTTCCCAAGATACCATCTGTCAGTGAGATCTAAGGTTATAAATTGTTTTAGAATGTTAGAACGAATGGTGTTAGAATGTAAATCTGAATTTTTTTAAATCTAATTTTTCTACCGAGTTTGTCCAGTTCCACTCACTAGCTAGATCTTCCCCTATCCCATGATTCTACCAGGCTGGGAGGGGTAAGGCTAGCATGTGCTTCCTCTGAAACATGTGAAGCACCACCACATATTTTCAAATGGCCCCAAACACAGCATTACTGGCTCTACACACTTGGAGGAGAGCACTAAAACTGTCCAAATCTGTTACGTCAGCTTATAGATGCCCACTCTAGTTAGCAGTCATGCTGAGTGACGGGGGAGAGGTAAGACCACCCTCCCCATCCAGATAGAATGAGGACAATTCTTCCCTCTTGGACTTCTGGCCAAAACATGGTAAATCTGTGATTAAGACACAATCAGAGTGCTAACTTGGTCTATTAGGGAGTCCATAGTTCCAATATTGCTTTAAAATAAAATAAATAAAAATATATTTCCTCGAATTCTCGAATGGAAAGCAATAGACTAAACGAAAAGTCATGGACAGTCATTTGAGTACAGTTACATACAGTCATATGCAGAAGTCAAATTACATATTCTGTTGATGTTTGAAAACAGACAGTACATCCTCTACAGGGAACACACTTAAATACAGCATTTTCTTTTTTTAGTGCACATTTTTTTGCTGCTATATCTAAATATATATACACTGTAAGAACAAAAGTATTGGGACACCTACACATTACACCTACAAGAGCTTTTATGACATCCCATTCTAAATCCATAGGATTTTAATATTAATATTCCATTCTTCTGGGAAGCTTTCTACAAAATTTGGAGTGTGTCTGTGGGAATCTTTGCCCATTCTTCCAGAAGAGCAATTTTGAGGTCAGACACTGATGTTGGACGAGAGCACCTGGCTTGCAATCTGCATTCTAGTTTATCCCAGAGGTGTTGGATGGGGTTGGGGTCAGGGCGCTGTGCAGGCCAATCAAGTCTTTCTGCACCAAACTCATCCAAACCATGCCTTAATGGACCTTGCTTTGTGTACTGGGACACAGTCATACTGGAACAGAAAAGGGCCTTCCCCAAACTGTTTCCACGAAGTTGGAAGCACACAATTGTCCAAAATGTCTTGGTCTGCTGAAGCATTAAAATTGGAACTAAGGGACCTAGGCCAACCCCTGAAAAACAGCCCCATGGCATTACAAATCCTCCACCAAACTCTAAAATTGGCACAATGCAGTTAGGCAGGTAGTGTTCTCCTGACATACCCCAAACCCAGACTTGTCAATCAGCATTTAATGGCCCCACTCTGTGAGTTTGCATAGTCTACCACTTCGTGGCTGAGATGTTGTTGCTCTAGGTGCTTCCGTTTCACAATAATAGCACTTACAGTTGACCAGGGCAGATCTAGCAGGACAGTAATTTCACAAACGGACTTGTGGCATCCTATGACACTGCCAAGTCACTGAACTCATCAGTGACCCATTCTACTGCCAGTGTTTGTCTATTGAGACCGTAAGGCTATGTGTTTAATTTTATCCACCTGTTAGCAGTGAGTACGGCTGAAACACGTAAACTCAATAATCAGGAGGGGTGTCCCAATACTTTTGTCCATATAGTGTATGTATGCATGTATACAGATAAAAATGTGTTAACATTTGCACTTTTGCATAGGCCGCATTTTATTATTTTTCCCATTTGGTTTTATTCAGCAAACAAACAGTAATTATGCATTTAAATATAATTTGACCAGGGCTGCCTAAACGTTTGCATACGGCTGTAATCTTTCAGAATCAAGAAGACTTATAAGCAAATAAGGCATAATCTGTAAATGAAGATGTTCCAGTCTGTCCAGGCATATCAGTTATTCTAAAGACACTATAAATCTGTTTCTCCTCACCTGATCCTCCCTTTTAGTGTACCTCTCAGTCTCTGATCCGTTTAAACATCAGTGCATTTCGTCTCTTTTCTCGACTGCAAAAGCCTCAGTGTGTGAGATGTTATCACTATTAGAATAGTGAAGAGCTGCCCTCTGCTGTTACAACACAGACCTGACACCAAAACACAACTTCAAAAGTTTCACAAAGGTCCTGTTTCAGGAACATGGCAGCAAATTCACAGCAGTGAGCAGCTACTGTGAACTCTTTATAAGTACTAATTACAACATTGTGCCTAAAGGTAATGATATATGATCCAGCAGCCGCTGAAAGGTGGGTATTACATGCACATCGTTATTAAGTAAAGACATACTTGCAGAAGGGGGATCGTGCTGTACTGCAGTTATAATACACTACATACATTCAGGGATTTTAAAACACTGCAGTTACACTCTAATAGTGGTGATCTTAGAAGAGATGTAAGTAGAGCTTTCACATAGTTGAGTGTGGGTCTACAGATAAGATATATTACACACCTCAGCACTGTTTTTTGTTCATGTTGTAAAGCAGAATGTGTCATAAATGATTGACTTTGTTTAGCCATGTTCCAGGGCTGTTTCTGTCATTTATATCTTGCATTTATTTATGTATTTATTTATTTATTTACAGGCATTTTTCCTTTAATTTCATTTATTTAATTTTGTTCTTCTTTTTTCATACTTGGTGTGGGTGAGGGGGTTGAATGCCACTTAAAGCCCCTAAACATTCAGAAATAGCTCTGCCTTCTCGCATGCAAAAGTTTTTGCGCCCCTGGTCAAACTACATGTATTGTTTATTTTCTAAGTGAAAATAAGTCACCACAAAGAACACATTTCTGCACATTTTAATGCACGATTACTGTTTACTTGCCAGCAAAATAACATTTGGCAGCTTGGACAATGTGCTGCTCAGTTATTTCTTGGTCAGCTCTGCGTCATTGTATCATTTGTCCATGCATAAGAAAGCTAACAGAAGATCAAGGGATGAATCTAAATGTGGCATTTGGATCTAGAGAGTGTTGCATTTTTCCTCTCAACATGAAGGTCAAAGAAGTGTTGGGGAGAAGTAAAGTAGGCCAACATGACACTGAAAATCAGGATAAATCTTTAACAAACATTAAGAACACTTAGCTTAGCAATGACACTATTGTAGTGGATGAGTTAAGAAAACTTACACTGATGAAAAACTGCTGATGAGGTCAGAAACACTAGCCAGGCTCAAATACCATAAGAAGAAGAATACATGAGTATGACCTCAGAGGGCTTACTGCAAACCACTGCAAACTACTGAAAACCTCAAGAATAAGAAAAGGTCAGCTCACAGTTTCCTCCAGATAGACTTCAGGTGACAGATTAGATGACAGGTAACCTGTGCCAGAGCGACGGAATAAGAAAAGTGTGTAGGGAAAGCGCATCACCTCATTTGTGAAACACGGTGGCAGCAGCAGGATGAATTCTGAACTGTACCGTTACAAATTTATTTATTTATTTATGCCATTTTTGACCTTTAGTCTGGACTAGCTCAGTTTAAGATGGGGATTGTCTTTCTACGGCCACTAGAGGGCAGCACACTCCTTCGGAAAATCTGTCACGAGAACTCTCCTAAACTCTAATCTCGTGGGCGTTATTGTATCATTTTTCATACCTGTTTTCCGACAAACCCCGCCCGCTGCGCTAGGATTGGCTAGTAGACCAGCCTCACAAGCAGTGAGTCCGCCCACAGGATATGTTTTATTTCAATAATGACTATAAATATCTGGTAGTTTGATGAAGCAGGACGCAGACATGTTTCTAAATTACAGAATAAGTGATAATTGGCTATATATTTGTAAACACTGGTGGTGCCTTTTTCTTATCTAAAAGTTGCTACTGTAAATACTAACAGTTTCTCATTAACAATGACAATGGCTAATACGTGTAACACTGTTCAGCTTTGTATATGTTGTTATATGTTATATGTTAGTATTATGTATAACACTCGTGAGTTCAACAGTTAGAACACGTGTACATATATATATATGTATACATGTGTGTATGTATGTGTGTAAATACACATGTACATGTGTATATACATATATACGGGAAGATATCAAGAGAATAGTTCATAGTAATCAGTAATCAGTCATCCCTCCTTTAAATAGAAGGTAATGAGAATCACAATATGCACCTTAATAGTGTTTTATTTACCAAGTGAAACATAATATTTGTTAATTCAGTGAAACCACACAATACATACAATAAGATCATTTCCTCTCTCTAATTTGGCCTAATGTGACTGACATGTGAAGCGCGATAGGCGAAGTGCTTATCAGTATGAACTACTAACCAATCATAGCGCAGGAAAAGCGGCTCGACTAGCCAATCGCATCGTGGGAGGCGGGACTTTCAGGAATACAGGTGGGAAAAAAAACCCTACCGCCTTCCTGTTTTCCAGGCGATCGGAGCTACCGCACTGGGAGACTGAGCGACGCCGGACCGGGATCGATTATGTCTGCGACCGCGCGCTCCGCCAAAGGCGAGGTTATCTGCTTTCCTACATGAAACAGACAGATAGCCATGTCTTCGGACAGCACCGTGTCCTCTTCTTAGCCGTGCTCTACAGTCGTATGTGTTGTGTTTTCGCTGCTGTAAGCCCTCCGTGGTGTCGTTGTCAATGACTGTCCTGCCCATCTAGCTTTACTCATGGCGGAGACAAAAATAATCTATCACATCGATGAAGAGGAAACTCCGTATTTAGTGAAACTGACCGTTTCTCCGGACAAAGTCACTCTCGCCGATTTTAAGAATGTCCTCAGCAACCGTCCGGTCAACAGCTACAAATTCTTCTTCAAGTCCATGGATCAGGATTTTGGGTAAGCCTGAGGAATTCGACTGTATCACAGTAACACAGCAGCTTACAGGGTATGTGCGCTTATTCAGGCAAGTGAGCGCACCCAGATCACTGCACTTGTGCTAGCTGAGCCCATATGTGCTCCAGGATTGAGCATAAAGACTCCGAAGGCTGGCTCGGTTATCAGTCTGATTATCGCTGTGGTGTATGGGGGTTGGCACCTGCTTTCTAGAAAGCCCGGAAAGCCTGTTTGGGCAGTGTGGGGCTAGTCCTTGTTCAGTGTGGTCAGCAGCCACATGGACCACAACAGGGCTCGATTTGTCATTCCAGTCACAGCACAGATTGTCTGCTGGCACAAATATGGTGGCTGGTTCCTATTCCTGATTCCTGGTTCAGTGTGCTGTGATCAGAAGTGTCTCTTCAGGCGCCCTAAAGTTTCCCCTACTGAAACAAGAGCTGTCACTCCGTGGCAAGAGTGGCATTTGAGTCCACAGCAAGTGATGAGACTAAAATCCGATAAGAAGTGTTTTTCAAGCTTAAGTATGTTTGTTTAAAGTTCATAGCATAGGGTATAGGGTGTATATATATATATATATATATATATATATATATATATATCTATGTCTGGTGAAAATAATGTTATCTGCTGAATTTAACATACTGGGGAAAAATAAACCATGAAATAAAATGGCCTGTGCAAAAGTTTTGGCACATTTTATATTTTATGTTCTATTCTTTTTCCAATATGTTGAACTCAGCATATAAATAAAATTACTCGCAGAACTAAAATTAATTAATAATAAGAATTCTTACCAAAAAATAGCAGAAAAATGCTGCAATTAAGTTAGCTTCCTGTAGAGGATGTGTTAACTTATTTTCACCTCTAAAATCAACAAGACATGTCATTTGTCCAGTCCTGTTCTAGTATATCTACATCAGGACTACAGGCATTTTTAATTTTTATGTGTTCACATTGAATTTCCATCTGAAACTTTACTATATAAAAGCTGTATTATCATCATACTTTTGCCATGCTCAGATCTGTATCTGTTTCCACACTAACACAACATATATTCATTGAATATAAAAGCATTAATTTTAATAGAAAAATTGCACCAACCTATTTAGCTATAAAAATAATAGTACACTCGTCACGTCAAGTGACATGATGAGAGGGAGTGACATCATTTAAGCCATTTGAGGTTGTGAAATTGAAAAGCTGGTAATTTTTTTTCCAACATTGACACTTTGTTGTTCCCTTCATCCTTAACAGGGTGCATGAAGTGTAACATATCCACTCCGTCACAAAAATTAGACAGAGTAAACAATGTTTATGAAATATTGTGCAGTATTCACAATAACGTCACGTAATTTACTGTTGAAAAAGTGATGTTAGACGGTCTAACTGGTGTGAGAAGGGATTAAAAGGAGTGTGGCAGTCAGTTTTGCATGAAATAACTCACCCTGTCACATTCCTCTCCGTCACAGGTTCATTGTGATGAGATTGTACTTAATAGCAGCTGCATTTATAGAGCACTTTTCATAGCTCTGAGCTTCATGGCTCTGAGTGCTTTTCTGTGTTATTTGCTGCAAAAAAAATGCTTACTGAGGTGGGCAAATATGTTTTAAGAGCAGTATGTCATTGAAACAATGGAAGACATAAAAAAGTGTGATTTCATTCTTCTTTCTTAATTTTAAAATTTGTCAGTGTGGTACTGATCTCATGTAAAGGCTGTAATATTACAAGATTTTGTATATGATCCTATAATAATTTGGATAATTACTACAGTTTGCTATAGACTACAACCACAAGATTGCTATAGTACTACAGGAGTGTCACATGGAGACTGAACTATTATAGATAATTACAGACGTATTACACAACACTTTAGTAATGTTATAGTTATTTACAGCATCACTGCAGATCTTATAGAAGGCTTCAGTGTTCTTAGTGATCTTTTAGTAATGCTGTATATTATCTTTTCATCATGTTACGTTTTTATGAAAATGTCAAAGAGAGGTGTAATATGAGACCTGAGCTAGCATTGTTCCTGGCCAACATGAGGGCTATTAATGTAGCACAACCTCATACCCAGATCTATGTAGCCTGTTCATAGAGAATCCTTGTTGGCCGCCTTCTCCTGGACAGTCCATACAGGTCATTATACTGATCACTGTAAGCAGGCTGTGGTTGCTGGTTTGGTTTAATTTGGGGATCGTTTTGTTTTGCCACTGTCTACAATTGTAACAGCAGCCATGGCTGGATGCGGTCAGTTAATGTTGGGTTTCATCACATACAGAGTGGAGATACACCGATCAGCCATCACGTTAAAACCACTTCCCTTTTTTTACACTCGTTGTCCATTTTATTAGCTCCACTTACCATATAGGTGCAGTTACAGACTGTAGTCCATCTGTTTCCCTGTGTACTATGTTAGCCCTCTTTTACCCTGTTCTTCAATGGTCAGGACCCTCACAGGACCACCACAGTGCAGGTATTATCTGGATGGTGGATCATTCACAGCACTGCAGTGACACTGACATGGTGGTGGTAGATGTAAAATCAGAGATTACTGCTCATTGGTTCATGCACAGTTTGTGTTGGTCATCCTCTAGTCCTTCATCAGTGGTCACAGAATGCTGTTGGCTGGATATTTTTGGGTGATGGACTATACTTAGTCCAGCAGTGGCTCTGAGGTATTCAACACTGCTGTGTCTGATCCACTCATACCAGCACAACACACACTAACACACCACCACCACCATATCAGTGTCAAGGCAGTGCTGAGAATGATCCACTACCCAAATAATACCTGCTCTGTGGTGGTCCTGTGGGGGTCTTGACCATTGAAGAACAGGGTAAAGGGGGCTAACAAAGTATGCAGATAAACAGATGAACTACAGTCTGTAGTTGTAGAACTACAAAGTGCACCTAAATGGTAAGTGGAGCTGATAAAATGGACAATGAGTGAGGAAACGAGGAGGTGGTTTTAACCTTCGGGCTGATCTGTGTATTAAAACATAAAGAAGCCCCTGTTCACCAGGGCTAAATCACTTAGATAATGCTGGCCTTTATGTTTCAGTAAAAGGCTGAAGCATGCGTTATTCAGCCTCGGTAATAAGTTTGCCAGGCTATTAGTCATTTTATGCTGCCTGTTAAAGACTCATTAAGTGAGAGTGTAGCTACTCAGGAGATGGATGATGATAAATATGTTGCGGGTGGACTGCTAAGAGCTTTTAGAAGGAACAGTCTCTTTGAATTAGTGCGTTTGTATTGGGAAAAAGCCCCTGAATAGTTGGACGGCCTATTCAACATGTTTTCTCCATTTTTTCCAGGCACAGGTTTACCCACAGTTAAGCGTGTGTACGAAACTCCCTCAAAGGAGTTGTTTGTCTATTTAATGGCATCTTTTTGATCCTTAAACTTGGAGATTTTCTTGAAGTAATGGTTCACAGAAAAATCGACTTTGCATTACTTTCCTCTTACCTCAAAGACAGGAGATCAGCCAAGAAATGTTTGGTGTCTGAAGTTTTGCCTAACATTTCCATTACTGGTTAGCTACATTTGCCTTGCAGCTTCAGTGCAAAACTAAAGAAGCAAACTTCAGACACCAAACATGTAATTTAGGGGAAGGAGGAAGTTGGGTAAGGTAGATTTTTTAGTGAATTGTTATGGTGAATGAATGCTGAACAATTTTGTTGCATTATTGTGTCCGGCCTGAATAGCAATATTTTAGTTATGTCTAAATTAGAGCAATAAACACGTTTGTGTGTATGATATGATTTCCCTCAACAAAACTACAATTCGCTGCAAATGTTGCAAATTCAGCAGTGTTTTTTCATTAGTTGGTGGTTAATCATTACCGGCTTCCCTAAAATCAAGAAAGTGACCCATCAATGATAAAACATACACTTCTGGTTCTGAATTCTGATTGGCTGTATCCAAATTCATCATAGCATTTACATATTTGGGTATTCAAATGAGGTACCAAATAAGTAAATGCTGAGCATTAAATGTGTTTTTTTGTTTTTAGATGTGAAGCACCTCATGGATGTGATTAAAATGGAATAGAAAGTCATGTTAATGACCACAGGGAAAAAGGGTGACACTGTTTACTCATTCTTTGGAATTTATGAAAATGGGACAAAATTTCCTTGATTGGCCGTCAGTATTCTTGGGCAAAGACAGGCTGTGTGTGGAAAACACAAAAAATTTGAGAAAAAGTGTTTATTGTACAGCCCATGGAACATAGTGTGGCCAGGCTTGAGCATGTATGTGAAATAAAATGCCTGAAACCATATTAAGCCCACCCTACACAAGAACCTGGTTTTGTTTAAACTGAGGGACTGAAACTATGACTGAATGATTATATGACCAAAATTTAAAACAAATGCCAAAATAATTGGACTAAACATCGATAAGCCACCGGAAGTTCTACATTATGAAGTTCTAAAGTTGTATTTACTACTCATTACTAGCTAATGTTAAAACGAACGTAAATGCCATGACTGGAGCAGCTTTGGCTCAGCGTACCTTAGTAGCTCCCACGATCCACCACGTCCTTCTCTATAATTTTGCACACTTGTGGGATTTCCTCACACAGCCCATCACATATAAACAAGGATGATATAGTTATCTGTCTGGTCGCTTGCAGATGTTTGCTTTTGATGTGATACATGGCTACAGTTGTGCAATCACCATATTTAGCTGTGCGCTTCAACTACTGTTGTGTATTGGAACTGAAATATATGTTTTAACCACTAGCATTGGTCAAACAATTGTGTAATTGTCAGTTAATGGTTAATTTGTTAGTCATCTAGATTAGGTTTATACAAAAATATATTACACATTATATAGATAATTCCTTCTGATATATTATTAATTTAGCGCAATTTTTATCTGCATCTATTTAATCCTTTTACGGATCACACAAATGTAGCTGACATAACCAGGTCTTTGTTTTACTATCTCTGTTTTATTTCTGTACAAAGTAAGTAGGAGTAGTTCTAAGAAAGTGGTGA